CCTAGTATTAGTATTTTAGTGGAGTGAAGCTAAGATAGACACACTTGGGTTATGGTTTGGGAACCTATATGTACTTGGTTCTGTAACCCTGTCCTGCAGATTGGCAGGGACCAGATTTCTTGCTGCACATCTCATGCAATTTCTTAAGTGCTTCCTTCTGCTTGAGAACATCTAGTGGTCCATCATTGAGGAATTCCTCTCTGGGGCTGTGAATGCTCCTCAGCCCTGTCAGCAGACCATCACCTCCCCTGGCACCACTCATTTAGATGCAATAAAAGGACTCCAGGCTCAACTTTGTTCCATCAGAGGAACAAATGATGGAGAGGGGTAGACATTTTTATTTAATCTGACCCAGTTCAGTGTATTTTGGGGAATTCCTCCCTCTCCCCACAGCTCTCTGGCATTCCCCAGATGGGAATGAGCTTTGATCATTTGGCCTGTAATAGGGAACAGCTTCAAGGCAGGGCTGCGTGGGAATGGTGTGGGTGACATATAAGCTCAATATGGAAATTGGGATCTTCTCGCTATTCCTCCTGCTTCAATTTCTATTTATTATTTCTCCCTTTTTTTTCCCCTTGTGAGCTTCTCCAGCATCCATGCAGAGATTTGTTATTCAGCTTGAGTATCCTCTGGGCAGGGTGCAAGAGGTCCTGTCACTTGGCTTTTCTAAGATAGGTTTCCAAGGTTTTGTCCTAAGGAAGATGCCTTTGAGCTCTGTGTTCTTTCTTGAAGAAGAATGAGATGGTGTTTCCCCAGATGCAAAATCATGTTCATGGTGATGCAACCACAAGCAGGTTGCCTGGGTTGCCTTCAACAGGAGCTGCTGTAACCTCGATCCCTCAGGTCTGCAGTCATGAACTCTGGTGGTTTCATGTCGTTCAGAGAAAATCTTACCCTCAGAATGATGTTTTTGAGGAATGAAGTCACCGGCTGGGTTCATCTTAACCTCACAATATGGGTAAGACTCCGTCCCCATGTGCTCAGCCTTGTACAAAAAGAGATTCCCCCATTCTGTGTAATTAATTTACAGTGGATGTCTCTTTTCGGGTGTGCGTTTGAACTCTTTCTTCTTTGTTCATTGTAAAGGGCTTAACGGTTCCTGTTCCTTGATTCTTTCATGGGTGAAATGTTTTGGAAGAGAGGGTAGAGTCCCCTTGTGACCTGCCCTGGGTGGCCCAAGCCTGTAGACCTTGCAAAGACATTACTTTTTTGGCCTGAACACAAGTCTCTCAAACCTTTAGCCTGGCTAAATGCTTTGTACAAACAGGCGCATACTGATCTGCTCTATTCTCTTGTGATTTTCTGCTCAAGGGGCTGTACTGTAGGTGGCTTGCTATGTTTGCTGCTTGCCTTGGTAGTGGAGACGGTGCAATAAACGAATCCGACAGTACTGAGGCCAACGCTGTGCTTGGTCGTTCCAAGAAAATTATCCTGAAATCTGGTTGAAGAGATTAAAACCAAGAAGAACTGCCTGTGTCTTTGCTCTAAAGCTCTGTTCTCTTCTTTGTTTCTGTTTTCTTCTGTAAGACTTTGTTCATTCTTCCTTCCAAAGAAGTTTGTGGCATTGGTATGTAAACTGTGACCTGCGATTACAGAAGGTACGGCTGTTTTTACAACAACCATGGGGTGAAGCATTGCATTCATTCCTCCTCGAGCTCCTAACAGCCAAGTGCTGGAGCAGCTTTCTTCAGAGCCATGTTCTTGATCTCATTTCATTCCTTCCGTAATACAAATAATATGATCTCATGCGTCATTTCACTTCTTGGATGTTGAGTGCACTGTTAATGCAGTAGAGGCTCCAATCCATTCTTTTGATGGGAATTACTGTTCAAGTAAATGTTGGTTCAAGGCACTACCGTTGTTGTAATGTGTGGTGTTAAAGGGCAGCATCACTCCATAACTCTCCCAGCCTTCCTCCCACATGGTTCCTCAGTAAGAGACAGCTAAAGGTGAGCTGCTAACGAGCAACCTTGTCTTGGGATGAAATCTGTCTTGAGTTGTTCACGAGCAGATGACAGTGGTGATAAATTCAGGAGGCTTGTGAAAACATTCGAAACCCAGTCACAGGCATTTTCTCCTGAGGATGTGAAATTCGTGCTTTTGGGAAGACCTTAAATTCCACAACTCCGTGTGTGCTTCTAAGTAGATTCCTATTGTGTGAGCCCTTACTCCATAATAGAAGTTTTCTTTCATTGCAGTCTTTTCAGGGTTTCTGTTTTCTACTGTTTCTCCAAATATAATCAGTAACATGACATGACCCCATCCTTAGAGCTTAGTTTGTTGCGTACCTCAACCCAGGGATGTCTGAGACACAGAGCTGCGCAGGGCAGTTTCATCTCTTGAGAGGATGCTCAAACACTGTTTCTCACATCTAAATGGTTTTAGCTTCTCAGGTACGTGCTTTTCCAAAGCTGGGGGTGTTTTAGGATTGATGTGGCTTTGGGGATAATTTTTCCAGATGAGACAGTGGGGTGTAGAGCAAATGTGTAAAGATGATTTATCCCTTTGCAGATCAGAGTCAGAAAGCTCATGTTAGTCCTTCCTTGCGCGTGTGCTGGCTCAGGCAAGCTGCAGTCAAATTTTATAGCAACCCTACATTAAAATGCCTTTACAGCTAGAATTAATTAAAGCAGTTTTTGAGGGTTAAATATAACCTCACTTTGGACTATTTGCAGCCTGAATATTGCAGCATTGAGCAGTGAAAGTGGCTGGAAGCTGAGCAGCTCCTACCTTTGTCCACTCCCTGTGCAGAAGAAGCAAAGTCTATAAGCACAACCATGGATGGTTTCTTCTGGGTTTGATTCATGCTTTTCCAAGTCTAAAGCATTTCTAATCTAAATCTAAAATCTAAACGTGAACAGTCATGTGCATAGTTTCTCTTTCTTATTTTTTATTACATGTTTCTATTAGTAACATTGGCTAAAAGTAATGATTTTACAGCCCTATTTGCTATTGTCCTGCAGCAGTTATCACTTGACTGATCACTGCAAAGATGAGCGATGGTTTCAATCTTAGAGCTCTCCTGGCACCTGGAAATATTAAAAAGCAAAGCCATGGATGTCTGGAAACTGGCTGCTGTGCCCCTGGAGGTACCGGTGTCTGTATTGAAGGATGGTCTCCATCCCGAGATTTTAATGGAAGGTGGAACAAGAAACCTGATAAATAACCCTTCTTTGGTTCCACAAATAAGGCAGTTGAGGAACAGGGCTGTATTCCTGTGTCTAATTCATTAGTCTGTTCTCATTAGAGCCATAGGGGCTGCTCATAGGACTGGGCTGCTCATAGGACTGGGCTGCTCTAGGAGGCCTTTAAGAATAGGATTGCAGTGATATGTTTTCCTTGGTTTGTGGCATCTGCTTGAAAATGAGATAACTTTTGGAAAGAGATGCATTGAAGGAGAAGACCAGCTAGCATGATGTGACTCTGCTTAGCATTTAAGGACAGGACAGATCCATTAGTACCTCTGTGTAGTCATGGAGACAGAAGGCAAAATCTACCTTCCTTACTGCTTAGTCCTCAGCTTTGTGGAGCTGCAAGAGCTGGTTTGAGGGTTCCTGTATGGTAAAAAACCAGAACAGTTTGGCAATAATGGGCTATATTTAAGTTAAAAAAACTGTACATTAGTATATTTTTCCCTCTTTCTGTCTTTTTTTGCCCTTAAACATGGCTGAATCTTAAGACAATATTTTGTTTCAGTGTGAACCATCTTCAGTGTTTGCAGGAGCAATAAAACTCAGAAGGCAGAAGCTCCCTTTTGAGAATGTGAAGTTGAACGTGTTGAATGTTTCATGGTGTTGAATTGTGGCTTCACAAATTAGGTCCATTCGGTTGCATGGAGAGCAGAGATAAAGCCACTACTTCTGTAACTAAAGAGGGTGAAAATTAGGCAGCATTGGGCAAACCAACCCCAGGAGCATCATCAAAAGATACCCTTGAATATGTGCAGTCATTGGCTTCATGAGTGCTACCAAGTAAAAGCTATTAGATGGCGTGAAGAGCTGAGGTTCTCTGATGTGGATTCATGCAAGGTTCATTCTTTAATTTGAAGAAGTTTTTACTGTGAAGGTGGTGAGGCACTGGAACAGCTGTGGCTCCCCCTCCCTGGCAGTGTTCAAGGCCACATTGGACGGGGCTTGGAGCAACCTGCTCTAGTGGAAGGTGTCCCTGCCCATGGCAGGGAACTGGAACTGGAGGAGCTTTAAGGTCCCTTCCAACCCAAACCATTCTATGATTCTAAGTCCCCCTCAGTGGTTTTAGACTTGGTTTAAATAATGGCTTAGAAGAAAAACAAACGTCTTAACTATGAAACATTGGCCAGATTACACTGGAAGGAGGGAAATGTGGCCTTGGAAATATTCTCTTGGCTTTGGAAACCAACGGTATTCAGTTGTCAGATGTCTTCATCCAACAGAAATAAATACGCAGCAGAATGGCCGCGATTCTTCCTATTTGGGGTGACCGTGCTCGGGCAAGAAGCACACCCCAGCAGATAATGCACAGATCGGCTGCCGAGTAATTAATGACAGGGCTGGGCATATTTTTTTGATGAATGCTTATGGGGCCTGGTGACAGGCGTGAAATTAGAAAATTCCTTCAGCGCCCTAAAATATAAATAGCTTTCGGAACTGAAAAGAGTTTCACAGCTGAAGATTTTATTGTGTGGAGAGGAAAAACTTTTCCACCCCCATCCCCCCTTTTCTTCTCGGCGAGTTGTTTGTCCGTTCACAAAACAAATACTCTGAAGCCCAGTACGGCTCATGGGAATAAATTTCAGGTCGAATTAGTACAGTTTCCTTGCTGTCAGGACGGTGGAATTAATGGTGTTTTGATGACACGAATTTTGAAGGGCGAACAAAGACGCTGAAGGGAGGGAGACATGACTCCTTAGAAGCGCGGTCCTCCTCTCCCCCAGCCTCTCTTGTCTTCCCTGTCATCCGTCTGCCAATCTCCCTGTCCATGGTTAGTTAAAGGCGCTTTTTATCCTCTTTTCTTTCCCACAGAGTTTGCCAGATCCGGCCCAGTGCCTGGGTTCCAAGGGGACACGCTGCAGTTGGCCTTCATCGACTTGAGACAAGTAAGTCTTTGTGTTTTTGTTTTTTGTTTTTCTTTTAAGATGTGTGACTGAAGACCATCAGGTCTTAAGGAAAAGGAGAGGAGGGGAAACGGCGTCAGTGATTTACGCCAGAGACCTATATTTCCCCCCTCCTCCTCCTCCCTACGCTCGAAGCCACCTCCTTATTGAGCTCTCCTGGAGATGATGGAGGTGAAAAGGGCTGGTGGTACGGGGGTGAGAAAGACTGACCCTGGCCGATGGGGTCCATTGTGCTGCCGGTGGCTTCTGCCGACGCAGCTAAAAGATAACTGGGCGACTCTCGCAGCTGACGCCAAGCAGGTGGTGCTGACAGAGCGAGCAGTGATGCAGAGACCGCCCGCCTCGAGGACTTTTGTTCACAGATAATGCCCACAGAGGCGTTTTGCGAGGGCGAAGGAATTTGCATTTGGGCTTGTGTGGGGAGGCTATGCCTGTGTGTGCATCCGTTGGTGTCCGTCTTTGGCTCGGCAGCATCCCCCCCTTCCCCGGTCCCCTCTTCCGCAGATGGTCCCCAGCCATGAATGACAAAGTGGCTGTTGGGGAAGATGATTGGGGAAGGCTTCACCCATCGGTGCCCACCTCTTGAGGGGGCCCCGTTAGAGCCAAGTTGACCATAGCAGGTACTGAGGCATTTGTGGGGCTTGGCAAGCCAATTTAGGGAAAAGGGCCATTCTAGTGAAAGTCATTTGTTTGGTGTAGAAATGGGCATTATTGATACACTAGGCTGGGGGGAAAAAGTGAGGTGGTCCTGTCATCTCTTGGCACTGAAGATGGATGGGTTGGATAGAAAGTCTGAATGAAGTAAGACTCAATGACTGATGCTTCTCTCCTATTAAAACAATCTTTTTTTGTCTGTTAAACCCCCCTGGCTTTGTCCCTCCTGCCATCATGATGCAGTGCCTCTTGTTTCCAGGGTTGATGTAGTTTGCATTCTGAAAACTTTTGGGTGCCGAGGGTATTTCTTCCATCTGCATAATCTCTTGTATCGATGATCTCCTTACCACTGGGACTCTGATTCATGCTGGAGCTGCTTTTAACCCGTAAGGGTTTGAGAACTTCTCTGAATCCAATTGATGTGCAGGGAGCAATCTGTCATGCCATGACACTTCTGCAGAGCAGCAATAAGTTTAATAGCATCGAGATGCCACGCGTTTGATTTTAGGACTTGGACCTGCCAGTAACTGCCAAATTTGTTTGCAAAATGGTCAAAATAGCTACGTGGGAAAGGTGTGTGTTACCACTGCTCTGTGTTGACACTTTTATCTTCATTAGCTTCTTGACACTTTATTGACCGCAGTACGCAACGCGCTTGCAACCTTCTGGGTATAAGGAAATGTGGAGGCTTTGGTCCTTTTCCAAGCAGGAAAACATGAATGCAGGGATTTTGAAGAGGAAAGCTGTGGCTGTTTGAAGAATGAAATGCCTTAAAAATACTCGGGGAGGTTCAGCTGCTCTGAGCCAGTGCATTAGCAGTGAAATGTTTGTATGGTTTATAAGTGCAAAATGAAGCCAAATGAATTCAGCTTGGGTGGGGAGAAAGCTTAATGGTAGCCCTCTTCAGGTCTTCCTCCTCTTCAAATGCTCTCCTTTGTCCATGGCATTTTCTTCTGGGAAGGTAGTCCTGTCTTTTTTCCTTGCCTTTAAAAATAATATTGCGAGGAGAAAGGGGAGATGCTCTGGCCTGTTGAGTTTCAGGTGAGGACAGACAGTGTTAGATCTTCTGGATAACAGGAATGCTTGTTGATGCCAAGTATTGTACAGATAATTGACAACACTTCATCAATTCATGTAGAGAAGAGCCCACCTATCACTGCCTTACTCAGCTTACAATAACGTGCAAGGATGAGATAGTTCCCAACTCACTTGATCCTGTTGATAACCTAATCCCATTACATGTAACATGTCACCAAACTCCATCTGTGTGAAGCTGTTCCACTGCTTCCAGCGCTGTGGTGCTTCCTGTAGGATGGCAGCTCCAGCTGCAAGGCCTGGGAGCAGGGGATGGCTGGAAGGGTGGATGGATGAAGGTCTTTAATTTAGTTCTCCAACTTGTTTTTAATCTGTTCTTTCTGGACATTGCGTTCTTTCTCTTTTAAGCTGCTAAATGTTAACACAATATTGACTTAAAGCTGAGAGTAGGGAAAAAGATGCCACCTTTAAGTGTTTGTGTTCCTGGCTGTTTTCTTTCTCCTTGGGAGGGAATGTGAGCATAGATCATGCAGGGGTGTTTCCAGCCTGAAATCCAGACATTCTCAAAATGTTAAAAGTAATTTCAGGTTTATATTTCAGGTAGGTTTATACTTACCTTGGAGCTGCCCTGTCAGCTAGCGTGGCTCTGTGCAGCTTGGTTATGTAGGGAAGAAAAATGACTGCGCAAGAAATGCACCAACTAAGTAAGGAGATGAAAGAGATTTCCCCCTCCCTTCCCAGTGTATTTCAGTGCGAGCTGTTACAGAGCAGTTGCAGATGGGAGACAGTTTTCAGAGTGATGTGGGATAATTAAGGGCATGACCAAAATTAATTCTTAGTACAATAAAATAGGAAATGATAGAAAACTGTAGTGATTGGTTTGTGCCTTCGATACAGATCCTTGTACTAGAAAATGAGCCCTATAAAAATGTTGCTGTCAGGAGTATCAGAGTTCCTCCTTGTTCAGTGCAGCAGATTCAAGTGTAAAATCGCTCTCTGCATTGGAAGCCCGATTTTCACCTTGTGCTCAGGGAAACTGGAGCAATTCCATCACTGTGTGGTAAAGAGGAAAAGAGCTATAGAATCCTAGAATGGTTTGAGCTGGGAGCGACCTTAAAGCTCCTCCAGCTCCAACCCCTGCCATGGGCACAGACCCATTCCACTGGAGCAGCTTGCTCCAAGCCCCTGTGTCCAACCTGGCCTTGAACACTGCCAAGGATGGGGCAGCCACAGCTTCTCTGGGCACCCTGTGCCAGTGCCTCAGCACCCTCACAGGGAAGAGCTTCTGCCTAAGAGCTCAGCTCAGTCTCCCCTCGGGCAGGTTCAAGCCATTCCTCCTTGTCCTATCACTACATGCTCATGAGTCAAACCCAGGGAATCAAAATTGCTATTTTGAGCAGACAGTAATTTAAAAAGAGGACTTTTCTTCTCATCCTGGGACAATTCTAAATCCATAAATACCTCTAATGAAGTGATAAAGTCAGCCAAGTCGCATCTCAAATCCTTCTGTAAGAGCCCTTTTATAACAAGGGTCTGAAAGCAATACTCAAATATTTAAGGCTTTACAAGAAAGCAAGTTATTTTTTCCCCTTAAAGTTTAAACTTTGCTGTTACATGCACTGTGCTGTATGTTAGAAATCTGAAATAGATTTAGTTCCATAAATAACCTTGCTAAAATATGAAAGGTGCCTAAATAATACAGTCTTCTGCATCTTTCTTTCCAAAGTGACTTCGGCACTTCTGTCCAAACACTGTTGAATGTCCAAATACCACTGAAGATGTCCAGGAGATTTCAAATCAACCCCAAGGTTGCGCATGCAATAAGTCCCCTGTTCTCTCCGCAGCTTCTGGCCAGCTGGAAATGTTTTAGCTTTTCATTTTCATGGGTTTATTATACGAAAGTGAGCTGAAGAGGAAGGTTTTATGTTTGTCTGTGAAGTCGCTGCACTCCACAGCCGCGCTGATCTCTCCTCAAAGCCAGATCGACACTCGTGGCCGCCTGCCAAGGAAAATCTGTCTCCAGCACTCGAAGAATTCCACTCTGGGCTCTAGCAAGGGAAGGCACTCGATGGATTTGAGCTCCTCACTTTAGGCCTCTCCGTCTGTCCAGTGAAGTATAAATCCTGTGTGTTGAATTTCCTCTGCAAGTGCTAAGTTGAGGGAGATGTAGGGAAAGGCAGGAGGGTCTTGTTGGAGACACGTGGATGTGCAAGGAATGAGGACAGGGAGGTTCCAGTCTTCTGCCCCATCTTTCTTCTGTTTTATGTTATGGTCGTGACTTGACAGTGGTTATGAATTTGAGCATCAGCTCTTCAAACCCCATCAGTGAGGTTAAGACAGGCAAGTGCTGTCATTAGTCGTGGAACAGCTCTTCTGCCTACTGCTTGTCCAATAGCAAACATTTTGTGTGTCTTTTTACTGCGTTCAAAACCCAGTTGTGGTTATTGTGGGTTTGTGTTGGATGCTGGCCAGCTGCGTAATGAGAAGGTCTCCCTCTGATGCATTAATTTTCCCCTATTACCTCTGATAGAGATGCTTAATAAAATAGTGTTCCCCTCAGGAGCACAGTTCCCTTAAATCCCTGCCCTGTTCTTCCCCTCATATGGGAAGAATCCTATCTCTTCTGCATTGTTTGCATCGTTACTGGAGGGTGGTTTTTAATTCATTTAGAAGATGAAATACAGAGTTAGGCAGGAACTTTTACCCATATGAAATGTGCAGTTGTTCTATCTCTGTGTCCATCTTAATTTCCCTCAATGACTTCTGAACCTTCTGGCCATGTTTGGTTGGTGGGCTTCAAAGGTGTAGCAGCTGTACATGTTTTTCTGCAAATGTGAGCCAAGATAAAGAAGCTGCAGTGTGAACTCATCCTTTAGATTCAACCTTGAGAGAGATGCATGGGGACATCTGGATTTCTTGGTTCTGTGCTTGGTTTTAAAGAGCTACTTGCTCAGGGAGCAGCATCTATGAGGTTACATTGATGGATACAGTAATGCTGGCAGTTGTAGATACCCAGCTTAGCTTCTTGTCGTAACATCACATGATAAATAAGGTTTTTGAATCTCCATCTGATTTGATTGTTGGCTGCTTTAAAGGCGCTTGGCGGTTTGGACTTGGGCAAGGTGAGAGGTGTAGCCCTGTTTCCTATTGCTGCCATGTGGTCCAGTGCTTCCATAGCCAGCCACAGGCATGGTGGCCAAGGGGAATCCTTGCAAAAGTGGGCTGAAGAGCCAAGGCCTCATGGGTCTGTGCCTTGATGTGACACTGCAAAGCTCTGGCCACCCCTCTCCTCT